TATATATATATATCTTCAAACTAAGATTACAAGAGAAAGACAGAGACAGACAGAGGGAGCATCCCTGCAAGAAGTCTTGGTTTCATGCCATTCTCATCACATACAAAAAAGTTATTAGGTCTTTGTTTATCCTTTTCTGGGGGGAAATGTTTTATAAGTGAAACATTAATATTTCATAACTATAAATGTAAACCCAGATACACATACACATATAAGCTAGAGAGAAATCAGAGAACACAGGGCATGTTTTCTTGTTATAGATCTTCTTCCATCCTTTTTATTCCTACATAGTTCTCCAAAGTGTGGATATACTATAATGAGCCTCCTAAGATGCACATCTCAAATGATGCCACAGTGGTTAACTCTGTACATATGCTTGTGATTTAATGTGTAGGGAAATATTGTCAGGGTATGCTCCTCTATAAGGGAAGTATCATCTTGCACATCTACCAGCAATGTATAAGGTACTTATTTTCTCATGGGCATGTTGCAGAGTATGTTGTTCAGTGTTTGAATTTTTGCCAATCCGATAGGGGAGAAATGGTGGTGTAGTAGACACTAGGACATGCCAATGGGAACCCTCTCTGGAAGGAAGGACCTTGGCAGCACCTAGAAGTGCTGTTGGAAGAAAGTGCTCAGCTGTCAGTCTTCTTCTCTGAGGGTTGCCGGGACTGAAGACAATGTCTCATCCAAGATTAGACCTCTGTTCAAGGGCAGTCCACATCCAATGGGACTGATCAGTACTGAAGGATACAAGCCCAACCCTATTGCTCTCACTTGGGACTTCTCTGAGAGCCACCTCAGTCTAGAACTCTTTGTGGAATCAGTGGAGGCCTTCATTCAGATGGCCCTGCAGCCCACATTTTTCTGGCCAATTTTGCTTCCTTGTGTAACTTTCCAAAGTTATTGACGTCCTGTGTGAAAATGGTCCTGCAGGCTAATCTTCTCTTCACTTGGCTTCCTGTGAAACCCAACTTGTCACAGGTATACTGGTGTAATTTCATTTTGCATTTCTCTTAGGAAAAAAGTTGAGCTTCATATATATGCATATATGTATACTATAACATATATAATGTGTCATTTGCACAATTATAAATGAGAGTCAATCATTATCTGAATCTCTGCTAATGTTTGTTTTTATTATCAGATTTCTTTTGTGTTTTGGTCTTCATTTTTCAAGTTCTCTTTGTCTTTATATTCATTATGTGAGCTATAAGCTGCAGGTATGTTCTGGATTGTTGTTTTATCTTGACATTGGTTATGGTACTATTTTTCCAATATATGTATCTTTTATATAACTTGTTGTCAAGTTAGCTAACATACAGTGTATATACAGCATAGTCTCTCTTGGCTTCAGGAGTAGATTCCTGTGATTCGTAACCCGTATACAACACCTGGTGCTCATCCCAGCAAGTGCCCTCAATGCCCATCACCCATTTTCCCTCCCCACCTGTCCCCTCGACCCTCAACCCCCATCAACCCTCAGTCTGTTCTCTGTATTTAAGAGTCTCTTGTGGTTTGCCTCCCTCCCTCTCTGTAACTATTTTTCCCCCTTCTCTTCCCCCTTCCCCCATGGTCTTCTGTTAAGTTTCTCAAATTCCACATGAGTGAAAACATATGATATCTTTCTCTGACTGATTTAACTTAACATAATACCCTCCAGTTCCATCCACGTTGT